CATCGTCATCAACAGTGAAACATATCACCAAATCAGTATATATTTCATCTACAGTAGCCTAGATACGAGAACCCATTTAAAAACAAATTAAATCCCGAAAAATCGGGATGTAATCATGCAAAGTCAGTGAGACCCATCCCCTATTTTTTCTAGATATCATCATCTCATCCCAAAAGGAGAGGATAAAAAAAATCAACCGACAATGAGAGAGGGAGGCATTCGAAACAGAAAAAAAAAAAGGAGAAGAAAGAAAAGTTTTACCTTCTCGAACCACCACCGTGAATCTCGCTGTGACCTTCTCCGATCCCAGCTAGCCCCGTATCTGAAGGTAAAGCCTTTGTTTTTCTGGTTTTGGGGTTGGTTTCGGGTAGTATAAGTTGTGGGTTTGGGTTCTAGAGATTGGGTTTCAAAGGAAAGGTTGTTCGTGAGGGAGGGTTGATCGGTTTAGGTTTCGTGGCCACCGATTAGCGGTTGCATGAGTCTTGGTCACCTCCCACGGCGGTGAGCCAAGGGAGAGTTCTCTCCCACGGGTTGGATTCTGCTGCTGAGAAAGGAAAAAATGAGAATGGTTAGGTTTCTAAACCCTTAAAGTGGTTTATAACCACCGAATGAAACGCACCGTTTCGGTCCCTCCCCCCATTTTCGTGTTTTTACTTTAAGGTTTAATAGTTGTTTTAGTCCCTGTATGTTGTAATCCTACCCTTATATGTCATCGGGTTCAGGGGCAAATAGCAGGTTTAGTCCCCCACTCTTTGTAATCATTTTGCTTAGTCATCGAATGAAACTTTTAATATTCTGATTTGGGCACTTGTTTCTTTCCATTATTATTTAAGTCACCAGGTTATGCATTATGTCTTTATTTCAATTATTTGACTTTGGTCCCCATGATTATGAATGTTTCATTTTAGTTACTAATTTAATATCGTGAATATTTTCCTTGGTGTTCAAATTTGGCCATGGAATTTGTAAATTTATTATTTTAGTCACTGATTTTAAATGTCGTATATTCATGCTGTTAGCCCTTGATCTGTTATTTTATTTAATTGTTGTCCTTCATGTACCAGTTTGTAAATTTATGTATTTTTATGTTTTGGTTGTTATGTTTAGCCTGTTATTTATTTTAGTCATTGTTGCTGAATTATTATTTAATGTTAAGGATTTATTCCTATTTGATTCTGGTTGTTTCTTTCTCTTAGTTTTTGGTCCTTGAATATATTACTATGAATTGTGATATTTTATTTTATTCTCACTTTATATAGTCATACATAGTTACATATTATTATTTATCAACGAAATTCCTAATATATGGGTATTAAACATATTAATAAAATGAGTTCATTCGAGTTTTCCATGTATATATGTTTATTTGAATGTATATGATTGCACCCTATATGTGTATTATTGTTTCATGTATTCTTTGTATGGTAGATATTTTCTTTATATTTTAATATGGTATATTTATTAAGTATTATTATGTTTCTTTTATGAATAAGTATATATATAAACAAGATAAATGTTGGTCATATTGATATTAAATACATGTTCTTGTTTAATTTGTTACTACGTGTATGTACACGTTATTCATTAAATACATTTTAATTAATATATATATATATGGTATTCTTTTATTTGTTAGTGTCAATCGAATATTTTCAAGGGCATTATTTGTGGAACGGGCGTGGAAAGTATCACTTGATCGAAGTGATGCAATCCTATACGACGTTCAAACAGAATATGATAAATATAAAAAAGAATGCAAATTCTTCCTTTTACGAGCTTATAGAAATTATTTTTATTGTTATTCTATTTTTTGTTATTTTATTTGATGTTCATATTGTTTAATATTTAAATTTTAATCTTTATTATTATTTCTTCATTAAATCTTAATATGAGTGATGTATGTTTTGGAAAAATAAAATATGATGTATTTTTTGTCAATTTTCGATATTATTTTTTTTAAAAGAGAAAATATTCTTTACAAGTAAGAAATAGACGAGGTAGCTTTCCCGACGGAGGATTGCAAATCTCGGGATTTCTTGTCGAGAAAAGGGTTTTTTTCTTTTATTTTAACTAATATTCAATAAATAAATCATAATTTATTTATTATTCTATTTTTATAATTTTTATTGTGTTAATGGTTTTTATGTTAATATTAACTATACATGTTTTAGATAAATTAAGCATATTTTATTTTCTACTCATGTCGATATTATTTGGTGGTAATTCAAAGATAGAATATACTTTATAGATGAGAAATAGATGCGATAGCTTTCTCGTTGGAGGATTGCAAATCTTGAGATTTCTTACCAAGTGAAGTATTTCTATTATTTTAACAAATATTCAATAAATAGATCATATTTTTACTTCTGATTCAAACTTTAAGTTCTACCATTTATGACGATATATAAGCGACTAAGTACCGATTTTGGGCGTTGTGGATGTTTATCTTTTCCACAGACGTAACCGACTTCCGAACCCCTAAATTTTCTTCTGATAACGCAGACTTGTATTCTTATAAAAAATGATTTTCTTTAAAATTGTTTTTTAAATTAAAAACATGTTATTAGGTATTCTACTTACCTAACTCAAAGGTCGATGGCGACTCCTTTCAATTTAATTCTAATTAATCCAAAATCACCTAATTTATCCAAATTAACGTCATAATCATTTAAAAAAATAATATTTAATTGTTTTACCTAAAAAAAATGGTTATGACAGCTGCTATTGTAACTACAGATTGGGAAATCAATTTGGGTAGTTCATTTACCATGTAACCTTACTGCCCTAGAAAAGGTGGTTTATTAGTAACAAGAACCGCAGAAAAATGAAGCATAGCCTTTCCTGGTGTTCTTTAGAATCTGTTTTTGTCTGTTAGGCGGCTCTGAGTTACCCGTCGTTCATGTTATATTTCTTCCTGGAGATAAGTATTATGGTCTTGCTTATTTCAATCTCCTTGATTTTAGGAGAGTTCCACAAGATCGAGGGACGCACGGGCTTCTGTGTCCAATGGCAGTTTCTAGTAGGTAGCTGCATTATAGTCTTAGGGGAAGTAGAAAAAAGAGTCACAAAGTCTTGTAAAAACCCTTCAAAAAGGTTGTTTCTGCGTTGCTTTGTAAGCGTACATGACGAAAATTTTCACAGAAATCAGACATCTATTAATGATGTACGAAATATGCTTGCATCTGACTTACATTAATACTTTATTATGGGTAGAGAGTCGGGTGGTTAGATTTAGATTTCGATTTTCTTTCACTGTTTTAATTCTTGAGACTAATGTAAAATACTTTTGTTTGCTACAGATATAATAGATAGTATGGTGGAGAATGGAATGCATTCTAAAGTTGTGGAGGTTGCTTCTATCTTTGGGCTTGAGGATAAATTCTCCCCTAAGACAATTTTGACTTCATTCTTGCAAGATTCTATTGAAGCAATCAAGAGGGGAAAACGGGAAGCACATAATTCACCCGAGTTGCTGGTATGATCCTTTTTTAATCTCTTGTCACACAAACGATCTTACATGTTTTCTCATCCTTCAACGTTGTATTTATTGTGTTATGGCCTTTTGCAGGGAAAGGCTAATGAAAAGCTATTACGTAGTCTAAGATTGATAGTCCATTCTTTTGAAGATCGTGGTATTGATGCAACGGAGCTTCTTGGTTCATACCTTGTCAAAGAGAAGATAGTGAAGTTGGAAGAAGAAATTGCTGCTGAGCTAGATATGACGATTGCGAAGAAAAACGAGAAGCCGAAGAGAAAACTGGATGAAATGGGATCATCAAGTACGGTTAGGAGCAAAGAAATGAAGTGTTCACGGATTGATACCAAAGGGTTCCCTTTGCCAAAATCTCATGTAAATCAGTTGCATGAGCAACCGACTGCTATTATGACCAAAGGCGATGGTTTGTTCCCTAATTCTTGTAATGCCAACAATGATCCTGTTGCCCCTTCTTCTGCACCACATGGATCAACTTGTTCCCTTCCTGGAAATGAGACAGGCCAGATGGGAGGAACCATTGGTGTTGAAAGCAGCAATATCGGTGTCGTCCCAGCAAGTCCTTATTCCAGGGCTGATGGGGCGATTGAAGTTGGTAAAGATGACCAAATAATAAGTGACAGTGGTCTGCCATGTGGATGTCGACATGCCTGCGTTATGGAATCTGCATCCATGTAGTTTGTTGGTTTATTTGGGTCATCACTGTCTATAGAAGGCTTTGTTGGTCTGCCGGATAATTCTGTTAGGACATCGGCGGATCTATACCGGTTTGCGGATACATTAGGGTAAAGTATTTATTTGGGTTTGTTAGTCGTTTCTCGATATATATTTGGGTTCTAGTCATTTTATTGTTTTTACTCTTCTTACAAAGGAAAATAGTTCATATGCAAACATGAAGAATTGCAGTGAAGAATACATAAATCTCTTCCCCCATTTCTCTTTCAGCAGCTCAAGCCTTTGCTTTTTCGAGCCCGTCGTTAACTGCTTCCCATGATCCGAGCTTCTCCATGTATATTGATATGTAATGCTAAAATAATACCTCAAAGTTTTTATTAAAAATATCATTTTAATTTTAGGGGTGGATGTAAATAATTAGTCAACAAACAATTAATTACTTAACGTTGTTGATTTAATGGACAATAATTTGTAAAAAATTAAAATTAATTTTATACAAGTCATCATATGATTAGTGTAAGAATATGAACAAAGAAGTTAAAGTTTGAGCTTACCAAGGATTGAACTTTAGTCTAGCGGTTGAAGGACCAACCTATGACTGTGTTACGTTTTTGCAAGAAATATTATTTATGTTATATATTATTTTAAAAGTGAAATATTATTTTCCTAAATAAGCCTCTAAAAAAGTGTCGGAGATAATGTTGGGCCTAGGCCTGAATCTAAAGCCTCCTTTTGAGCAGAACACGAAAGATCAGAAGTACCCTCAAGGGTTAGTGATAAATACAAATTTAACCTTCTTCCGCCCATATCATGATCATTCATCCATCAAAGGCAGAGGCCGCCGAATCTCAGCCTCACCGTTTGTTTTCTTTCATTCCATTTAATTCTATTCGAAACCCTAATTTGATAAATTTCACTCTCATCTCTCAATAGAATGAGGCAACTCGATGAGCGGGAGCACGAGGTGTACGGAGGGGAGATTCCCGATGAGGAAGGAGAGATGGACTTTGGCGTGGATATGTCTGGTGGAGCCGAAGATTACCGAGGCAATGACCGTGATCTTCAACGTGATCCTAATTCCAACTCCAAGGTTGTCCTCTTCTTTATTCTAGCCTTTTCCCCTTAGCATTTTGTCTGATGAATATATATATATATATATATATATATATATATATGAAAGGATTTGGAGGACGTGAAAAAGAGACTTACGGAGATCGAGGGTGAGGCTGGAGCTTTACGTGAAATGCAAGCTAAAGTCGAGAAGGATATGGGCGCCGTCCCAGGTTTTTTTTAATTATTTGTAATCAGAATTTTTATTTGGCTATTTTTTTATTTGGACAATTTTGACTTCAATTTGGATTTAATTATATTAAATTACTTTATTATCGATTTGAATATTCATTTACGAATTATGGAATGTTGTGTGTGAATCATATTTCTGGGAAACTGATTTGGTTTTATTTTCTCTTCCTGGATGGCTATGAAGATTCAGCAGGTGCTTCTGCCACCCAAACCGAAAAGGAGGAAGCTGATTCCCGCTCGATTTATGTTGGTAATGTGAGGTTTATCAACCCTTTCCAATGCCCTTTATGAACCATCTTTATATGTTTATTTGGCTAGATTGCTGCTTACATTGTCTACAGTCAGTTTATATCTAGATGATAAGAAGAGTTCTACCAGTTTGTGCCTTTCAACCTAAATCTGATTTATGCTTGAGCATATTGAGTGGCTTGAAAATGCCTTTTTGTGCTATACTTCTTTGACTATTCATTTTCTTCAAAGTACCTGTATCTGAGCGGCCAACTCATGGATACGGGGATATGACCTCTAAGGGTCCTCCAAATACATGGAAAACCTAGAAAAAACTAATCATACATGTCAGAAACATATCCTTATCTGATAGTCTCATGCGAGTCTCAGTCAAGTTGTTATGAGCATCTTCATGGACAATACATGACATGTTCCTTGTTATTTAAACAAGCTTGACTCATAAGAACTTATTATTAGGAAATACACTCTTTATTATGTAGATGATAAGAAGTGTTTTTACCAGTTTGATCCTTGCAACCTAATTCTGATTTATACTTGTGCATATTGAGTGGCTTGAAAATACCTTTTTATGCTATATTTTTTCGACTTCATTTTTTAAAAAGTACCTGTATCTAATAAGCTGCCGATACGTGGATATGGGAATATGACCTCTAAGGGTCCTCCAAATACATGGAAAACCTAGAAGAATCTAATCATACCCATGTCAGACACACATCCTTATCTGATAGTCGCATGCTTGTTTCAATTACATAGTTGTTATGTGCATCTTCAAGGACAATACATGACATGTTCCTTGTTATTTAAACAAGCTTGACCCATAAGAACTTATTATGAGGAAATACACTCTTTATTATGTTGTTTCATTTTGTCCGGTTTCTTTAGGTAATTTCTAGGTTGTTGAGGTGTACAATTAAAATGATCTCGATGTAATGTAGTGTAACTCAATGTGGGCTAACCCTTTGTTTCCTTTTGTCTTTGTAAAAACAGGTAGACTACACATGTACACCAGAGGAAGTTCAACAGCATTTCCAATCCTGCGGAACGGTTAACAGAGCGACAATTTTGACTGACAAGTTTGGTCAACCTAAAGGATTTGCCTATGTTGAATTTGTTGAAACTGATGCTGTTCAAAATGCCTTGCTTTTAAATGAATCGGAATTGCATGGTCGTCAATTGAAGGTTTATATACTTGATTTGTTTGTGGATTATTACTACACTAACGTGAACTGCATGATGATAAAAAGTGTGTTTTGCTTACTCAAAGGTCTCTGCAAAACGAACAAATGTTCCTGGAATGAAACAGTACCGAGGAAGGCAACCCAACCCATACTTCCGCTTCCGAAGGCCTTTTATTCCGGGTCCTGTTTTCTATCCTCCATATAGCTATGGGTAAGCATGAAAACATGTTTTCTTTGTTTGGTTGTTGCATAGTAAAAACGATAACGTGGCATTTGATTTCTTTGCGTGTATTTGGGGCCGAGATTGATTTTTCTGTAATGCTATCTGTTTCATTTGCATTAGATGCACGGAAGTGAAAGGATTTGATTTTTCTGCAATGCTATCTGTTTCATTCGGCTTCCCTATTATGATCTCTGCTATGCCTACAGGGTTTAAGCTTTTTTTTCTTTTCTTTTTTGGCTATCTGCATTAGCTGCTTGGTGTCAACTACTTTTTAGTCTTTTATCTGATTTTATTATCTGTTAAGACTTTAACGAATCGAATGTGATATTTTTTCCCACTTGATAAGCTTGTTATCGAATGATTTTCAGGAGGGTTCCAAGGTTCAGGAAGCCAACCAGATACAGGCCATATTAGGATGGATCTCACGTTGTCAAAAGAAGCAGATTTTGGGAAGGCCGTTACTAATGGTTTATCATTATTTTATAACGTATAATGATTATTTTATATTATTTTAGTGAATTTGAATTATTACTTTAAAATTTTTAAAGTGTTAGTGACTAAAATACGCAATTAGTTGTAGGTGGAATTTTCATTAAACCTCGTAGGGTCAGTGTATTTTTCCCTAATATTTATTGCCTTATATTTTAAAGGTAAAAAAGTTGAACCTACCATTGCTGATTATGGTTGTAGTTTTCCCTTGAAAGCAATTGTATTTTAATAAAGTAGTTAAAAATTTGTATTTTAATGTCTATTTTGTTTAGAGAAGGAAATTGGATGAGAGGGGTATGAAAATGTTCTTATATTTATTCGTTACAAATTTGTATTCTTATCTTGTCTTGCGATTTATTATAAATACGGAACTTAAAATCATCACATTCAATATTCTATAAAATTAAAATTATCATGATAGGTGGAACAGATACTAAAATTGAATTGAGGAAGGTTATCAGACGTGAGGTACGTCTGATGGATGTATGACGCAATTTTTTCAAAAAGGTTGGAGAGGACGTGAGGAAGGCGATCTTGTATTAATTCAGTACACTAGAGCCATCGAGGAGTTTAATGCTACTACGATCACACTATTGTCTCAAAGAATACTAGTCCTAGCAATGTTAAGGATTTCATGCCTACATCTTGTTGTCAGGTGTTGTATAAATGTATTACAAAGATTAAGGTTGCATGTATGACTAGTTGGATGCCCAAGATTATTTATAATGCCCCGAATAGTTACAGGTTGACCCAAGTGAGTTATGAATGATTATAGTATGTCATCTTGAAGTTTCGGCTTGGTTGGACTAGGCTTTGGAACCATATATGCATAAAAAGGTTAATTTTTAATTTGTATCAAAGGAAGAATGAACAAGGAAGTAATTAAATCATAGTTTGGAATTAAAGTTGAATCCTATTTATTTTGAATGGGGTCACATTTGGGGAAAATTATGTTCACCTTTACTTTTTCCTCTTCTCTTTCTTTCGTAAGTCCATCAAAGGTGACAACTTGGTTATTCCATATTCTTAATCTAGAATTGTAAAAATATGAACTATAATCTCCTCCCCTAAAGTTTTCTTTCAAACCCATGAAATTTGGGTTTATTGCGATTTCAATGCTCCTATTTTATGATACTTGCATTTTTGTCACGATTTTTGCCATATTTTGTTGATTTGCTTGTAAAGTTACTGTGTTTTTTTAGTTTAATTACTTAACCACTTAGATTGTTTAACTTTTTTTACTTCACATCTTAACTCATCATGTTTGTAAGTTGGCATTTAGACCCTAATGTTCATGAATATATATGATAATTTGTGATATGTTCTAAATAAGTGCTATGATTTTAAGTATTTTTTGTGTGATAAATGTTTTTTTATATTAAATATGTCTTTTATTTTTCGGTATGTATGTGTATTTATCTAATATTTTTTAAATTCTTAGATACTTAGGCAGGTATATTTTAACTATTACAAAATGTTGATTTTATTTGCAAATATCTTTTAATGTCTTTCACTTGTATATTTTCATCAACATCTATAGTAGAATGGACGTGAAAAGTACTATTTAATAGAAGTAGTGCAATTCGATACGAAATTTGAACAAAAAACAAACTTGAAATAAATTGATTCTATTTTTGTGCAATTGTATGACTCAAAATAATTAATCAATGTTCGATACAAAAGATCACATTTTAATTTTTACTCAAATCTATAGTTCTTGAAATGGCTAACATATAAGCAATTAGGTATTAATTTTGGGCATTGTGGGGGTGCTTATTCTTCCCACGCGTAATCGGCTCCCGAACTCTACAAAATGAATTCCTGATAAGACAAACTAATTTTTGTCTTAAAAACTATTTTTCTTAAAATTGTTTTAAAAGATATTTTTTAGGTATTCGACTTACTAACTCAAAGGTCGATGACAACTCCAAATTTCAAATTAACCAAATAAATCTAAATTTCTCAAAATAAAATCATAATTATTTTAAAATCAATTTTTCAAAAATGATTGACACCACTAGTAAATCATTGTATGTGCTTGCTTTGCTTGTATGTGTATGAGTGCATGGAGCATTACAATATCCCATTGTCTTTTATTACCGTGAACTTTAAAATGAGAATTTTCGAAATGCAATGGCACATCCTCCCAACAAGGTTTGGCTCTATTATTTCCTGATGGTCCTGTTGTCTCCGTGGTCACTAAATGAAATATGTGTTATTATATTATATCAGTATGAAATCATGTTCACTTTTGGAATGTCTTTTCACTTTTGTACCTAAAATTTATAGGAAGTGGCACATAGGCAACAATTCTTGTTTTGGAAGAACTATCGGAACAATTGGTTGAAGTTCATTTTGCCTAAGCCTCCTCCTGAAGAAGTTCCTACACCTGCACCCCTGCCTCCGGCTGCTGCTCCACCTCAACCACCCTTGTCAACTAGTGTAATCACCATTTTTACCTCCAAGCCTCCACAACAGCAAACCCGAAACAGCTGTCCCTCCACGTCGACTAGCTCCACCTATGGCTTCCAGCAGCTTCTAGTAGGAGCCAGCTGCCCTTCCCCACTCCACACAGCAGCTGCCAGCGCTGGCAGCTCCACCCGTGGATTTCCTTGCTCAACGTCCCCGCTCCAACAGCTGTCCCTCCACGTCCCGATTACAGCTGTCCCTCCACGTCCCGATTACAGCTTACAATCAAAACAAACAACAATCATCATTTTTAAGCATGTAAATGGGTTAATATATAACGCATAAAATTACATTGTAAAAAACGGGAGTAGATTGTAAAGAAAAAAAAGAAAAACAACATATTGGAAATAAAAAACAGCAATGGTTGTTCTCTTCCACTTTTTTATTCGTTTATTTTTTAATATTATATTTTATTTTATTTTTTAGAAACAGCAAAGCAAGTTAATAATTAAAAAAAGTAAAGAGGAATGATTTTACCTCGCTGTTGGTTCTTCGTCGGAATATAGGTCATTGGTTAAACATAGGTTGAAGCGTCGGGGAAGAAAGGCTTGAATTTTCTTTAGTCTCGAATTTGGTGGTTTAGTCCCTAATCGGGACTTAGAGTTTATTTAAGCAGGTTTTAGGTTTGGGTTTTGTGTGGGGTGGTCGAAAGAATGTTTGGCAATTGATTTACGGTGGCCGGCTGCGAGATGTTGTTCTTCGTGGCTAGGTTAGTCTAACAAGATGGAATATATATATATATATAGCTTAGGTTTTGCGTAAATCATTCATCGGTCCTTAAAATTTACCCGTATTTTTATATTTTAGCCACTAGTTTCAGGGTTATATCACGTTTAAGTCCCTATGTTTGTTGTGTTTTTTGGTCGCTGGGGGTTTAATTTCTTTTTTGGGGTAAATCACGATAAGGTCCCTGAACTTTTAGCATGTTTTTACAATTAAGTCACTAGTTCGTGGGTTAATCACCCATAAGTCCTCCTAGTTTGACGTATTTTTACAATTTGGTCACCGATCTCCTTTCTTTATTTTTATTTTGATTTTTGCACGCTAATTTCTATTTTGTTTCATTTTAGTCACTAATTAATTCTGTTTTTTATTTTATTTATGAATATGATGCTATAGTTTCAATTTTTTATTTTGGTCATTGTTTAATTACAATTTTTTTTTTATTTCTATCCTTTATTTTTCAATACTTCAAATTTAATACTTTAATTATTGCTCTTTATTTTATGTTCATTTCATTTTAGTTCCATGAATATATATGAAAACCTAATAAGCATAACTCGACCGATTTCATAATTGGACTAAAGGCAATATTTATTTATTTTAAAAATATTAAGAAAAGACCGTCTTAAAGTAACTAGATGTCATATTCCGATATTTTAAAATAAGTAAATACCCTACTAGGAGAACCTAAAAAAAATCGAATATGCCTACTTTAGTTTTATTCATTTTTGTTGAATCAAATTATTTTAATATCGAGTTCTTGGAAGGAATTATCATATTCTTATTATTTCAGTTGGAAAGAGAAATATTCATCCTAAAGTATTTTAGTAATTACTTTCTCTTCAATTGGAAATATTGGAATATTTTCTACTTCTCCTTAGAATTTTTCGTTACATAAAAATTATGCGATTGAATTTGGAATAATATGATCATAACTTAAATTTATATTCGAATTCTTAGATTTCCACTACTAGAGACAATTTATAATTGATGGGGTACCAATTTTGGAAGTTTTGTGGGTGCTTATCATTCCCACGTGTAATCGACCCCAAACCCCTTTTTATTATTAAAAAAGAAATGAATGTCTGGTTACACGTAGACTGGTTTATCTTTTAAAATGTTGCTTTATTAAAAACTCTTTTAAAAGGCGATTTTCAGGTATTCGACCTACCTAACCCAAAAAGGTCGATGGTGACTCCCATTTTTTTTCATTAAACCCCATTTATTTATTTGTTTTTCCCAAGAAACGTTGTATTGCTTAAAATCAATTAAGACAACTTGGCGACTCTGCTGGGGATTTTGTTGATCAAACCCTAAATCGATTATATATTGTCTCTATAGTTGGAAATGGATAATTCAGTTTTATCTAATTTATGATTCTTTTGATTTCTTTCAATTTTTTAATTTTATATCCTTGTATATTAATGTTTGTATTTGATTGATTTTCATATGCTAAAACTGCTTTAATTTGATTTTTATGTGGTTGTTTGTCAAAGGTTTGAGAATTTTTCCTCATACACGACACTTGCATTGCATAACATAAGCTTTATACTCGAGCTCTTTCCCTTTTAAGTGGGAGTAAAAGCGAAGTCTTCGTGAGAATTTATTCTCAGTGTCAGACCTAGCAAGTAGCTTCCGAGGTTCATATACCCTATGTCTTCGTGAGGATTTATTCTCTGTGTCAGACATTGGGAAATGTGCCCTCTCAAATTAAACTAGATTCGCTTAAGCCTTAGGTGAGGATTGAGGGTCTGGCTCACCAAAGGGGGCACCGACAAGGACAATTCGAGTACCTTTTCTCCTAGAAATTAAACCCTGCATATAATAAATTCTAAAAACCCACCTGATCTAAAACCATACCGAAATTCTGTCCATAAGTACCCAAATAAGTGTACGCAAAGGAGAAATGAACTCTAACCTTCGTCGTTTAATTTATTTGATTTT